GGTGTGCATGCCTGGCTAATTTTTTGTATATATTTTTAGTTGGTTAATTAGTTTCTTTCTATTTTTAGTAGAGACAGGGTCTCGCCCACGCTGGTTTTGAACTCCTGACCTTGAGCGATCCACCTGCCTTGGCCTCCCGGAGTGCTAGGATTACAGGCATGAGCCACCGCACCCGGCCTGGCGAGCTTCTTTGAAAATAGTGAAAGACCCAATGATGAGACAGCACAAGACTATAAGATTGCCAACAAAATGAAAGCTGCATTTAAAAGAAAATACCAAGGGTCCTACTTAAATCACGGGTTCATTGCAACAGATGATTCACATTCTCCAAGCATGCTTTGTATAATACGTGGCAACTGGCTATCCAACGAAGCCATGAAAACTTCAAAACTTCAAAACTGCTTTGCCACATGGAGACCAGGCACCCTGCATTAAAAGACAAGCCTTTGGAGTTTTTCAAAAGAAAATACATGAACACAAAGAACAGAAGCAATTATCGAAGGCCACCACTTCATCCAATGTGTCTGCTGGAGCATGACTCTCAGTGGCTAACCGCAGCGCTAAGCTAAGAAGCCCTTTGCTCTGGGTGAAGAGCTGATCCTGCTGCTGCTGAGGGCGTCTGGCTTTTCAGAGGCTGCAGTTCGAAAGGCGGCACATGCTCCTCTTTCGGCTAGCACCATAACTAGACTACCTGATGAGGAGAGGACAGCAGAGGACACTGAGGCACAACTCTTAGCGAGGATTAGTGAGCCACCACGGTACTCAATCCAGGGTGACGAGTCTATGGATGTTGACAATAAGGCAACAATGCTTGTTTGTCTGTGATATATTCTTTTAAGACAATGTGCATGACGATATGTTATGCACACTTTTGTTGCCAACCAACACCACAGCTGCAGAACGATTCGAGTCTTTGAATGATGGCAAATCAGGAAAACTGAATTGGTCATTTTGTGTCGGTACATGCATGGACAGAGCGGCTGCCACGACTGGGCGGCTTTCTGGTTTCACTACTCGGGTCACGGAGGCTGCTTCTGAACGTGAGTCTACGCACCGTGCCACCCACGGAAAAATGCTGGCTAGCCGAAAGATGTCACCTGAACTAAACAACATCGTGCAGGATGTGATTCAAATTCGCAACCACATTAAGTGCATGCCCTTAACTCACATCTGTTCACGCAGCTCTGTGAGGAGATGGACGCAGAGCACACGTGTCTTCTCTTACACACAGAAGTGAGACGGCTTCCTAAAGGGAGAACATTGGCCAGAGTTTCTGATTACAAGAGCTGCTCCAAAGATTGCTCGTAGACAATCACCACTGGTAGCACCTTTCAGTGACACAGTATGAGTCACAAAACTTGCTTCTCTGTGACACATATTCAACCTGTTCAATGAACTCCATCTGTCACCTCAAGGGAGAATGACAACTGGGTTCAAGTCAGCAGATAAAAGTGACTGCATTCAAAGCCAAACTGGGATTATGGAGGCAACAAGTGAACACCGGCATTTTGGACATGTTCCAAACATTAGTAGAGATTTTGAAAAAGACTGAGCCAGGACGTTACTTCTCCCAGCTGGTGCACGATCACCTATCTCAGCTTCCAAGAGTTTGAGCATTACTTCCCAACCACAAAAGACCCCTGAACTGGGAAGGAATGGGTCTGTGATCCATTTCTGAACAAGCCAGGTGAATCGACTTTGTCTGTGCTAGAAGAGGATCAAAACTGCTTGACATCGCAAATGACGGTGGCCTTAAAAGTATGTCTGAGACACCTTCAAATCTCCCTACATTCCGGATTACAGTCAGGCAGAATATCCTGAGATTGTCACAAAAGCACTGAGAAGCTGCTTCCGTTTCCAACATTCTATCTTTGTGAAGCAGGGTTTCTGCCGTGGCAGCAGCCAAATGAGATTACGGAGTAGACTGGACATAAGCAACACGCTTCCGGTGTCACTGTCTCCCATCAACCCCAGATGGCACCATCTAGTTGCAGGAAAACAAGCTCAGGCTCCCACTAATTCTGCATCATGGTGAGTTGTGTCGTTCTTTCATTATACATTACGATGTAGTAATAATAGAAGTAAAGTGCACAATAAATGTAATGCACTTCAGTCATCCCGCAACCACTGCACCCATCCCCACCCCAGTCCGTGGAAAAATTATCTTCCGTGAAACCGGTTCCTAGAGCCAAAAAGGTTGGGGACCACTGGTTTAAAGGTGTCACAGTCTAGGTCTGCAAGGACAGTAATTCCCTACTTGGCACGGTTCTGGGAAGACTGATCTCACTGGTCTGCTTTTATGAGTTAGATATGCCTAGTTTCTGGGTTGGTGACCCAAGTTGTGTCAGGATAACTGGTTAACGTGTAAGGCTGAGGCCCCCCTCACCCTTCAGTACAAGAGTGAGGAAATGCTTCATCTAAGAGTGTCCTGGGACGTCAGTGCCACAGTACCAAGGGCGCTGGTGGGCTGCTCCACTGAGTTATTTTCTCTCCCCATCTTGTTAGAGGATGGCCATCTGGCTTGCCCTTTTAGATGGGGGCAAGGACTACGCTTGGGACAGAGGCTGTACCAGGGACAGCCTGCAGTCTAGAGGCACCAAGCCCCTTCCCCACCCCCTTTCCTCTTATTACCCAGAGGCAGAAACTAAAATCCACTGTTTTAAGAGGCTAAAAGCCTGAGAAAAGAAAGAAGAAAAAAGAAGTAAAAGGGGAAAATTCTGTGCCTTTAGGCAGCTACAAGTTCAAAGTGTGGGGGGGGGGAGAGAAAAGAAAACTTTAAATCTATGTACTACACAAATGCTAAGTTTAGCAAACATAATACTAGTTCTACATTATTTAGTTTTAAAAATAACAAAAAATAAATATTCCCCAAATACAGAGGTAGAAACTAAATAAAACGTTAAATAAATTATATATAAAAAATTTTAACGTGACATTATTTTAACAATGTCCATAATTTAACCCAATTGGAAATCTAAAAATTATATACTGAAAATTTATAACAAATTACATGGTAATAATATATAGCACATATATAACAAATAGATACTACAAAGTGTATATTATAAAAACCAAAAGATGGTACTGATTTGCTTTTGTGCCTCTACAATATAGGCTCTAAATTAACTTGCTAAATGTTAATTTAGCTAAACATTTAGAATTTGCTAAAATACAACAATTGACAAAACTTCATAGGCTTAATCAATGCTGGAGTTCAAATTATAGTTATACTTGGGAATCTCACTAAATTTAAAAACTGTCCTCCCTTAATCTTAAAAAGTAACTAAACAACAAATAGACAAAAAGATAGGCATGCCTCACGTTAACTGCAGCCTTGTCTAACTTCCCACAGTCACAGCACCCATTGTTCTAAAATAGCCCATATTGGGCATAGATGCTCTGACACTAATTATAAAATACGTAATTCATAAAGGGGTGATTGTCCCCATTGCTTCTCTATTCCACCCCTTAATTTTGTTCATTCTTAAACCTTTCTCCAGGAGCACAGTGATGACATCACACTGACAACTCCCTCCACCGACGACATTCATTTGACACATTCATTATAGATACGAAAGTCCAATATCTCTTAGTTCTTTTGGGGTGTCCCTAATGGCCCTAAATCCATAAAAAATATTCAAATTTGCCACTCTTGTACTGTTTATTCCACCCCACCTTTCCTTTCCACAGAAACCCCAGTAAAGTCCGTGGCCCGTCCTTTCGCCTGCCTTGTGCTGACGACACTGGTGCCGCCCCATGTGGCCCCATGTGAGCTGGCATGCCCCTTTATCTCAAGAGCTGTAACAAAGTTTTCCTTTGCACTAACATCAGCACTAACATTTCTGTGTCGTCACTCAGACATCACCGCAAATTAAAATCCCACAAATCCACACAAATGACGACACTGTGACAGTTAAACAAGTGGAACATGAACAGTGCCTGGGACAGCCCTGACATCCAGGCAGTGCTCCAGGGACTTCAGCTGTGACCATGATTAATTGCTTTTCTTAAAAGTGGTCCCCTTTTTTATTTCTGTTAGGTTTCTTCAAAAAAAGAATCCTGCATCACTTTGGTAAATGGAAAACCCAAAGTCGTGTGCTTTGCAATGCAGCACTGAAACCAAGACAACTTCGTTAGTCCCTGTGAGCTCATGCCGCCTGCTCAGGGCTGGGAGCCGAGGCTGCTCCCTCTGTTGAAAAGGGGAAATTAGCAACAGTTCATGGGATGTTAAGACTCAGCACTAAACCCAGACTTCCCTCAACAACCCTCAGGAGGCTGGAGAGAGAAGAAGTTAAAAAATGGCTTCCTCAGTGTGTCTGTAAATGCCAGCAGAGGTGTCTACACACCCACGAAACAGGGTTTCTCAGCCTCAGCATGACTGACGTTTAGGTCCAGACAATTTTGTTTGGTGGGAAAAGGAGGTAGAGGATCTGTCCTGGGCACCACAAGGATGCTTGGCAGCATCTCACATCTCTGTCACTGGATGCCAGTTGCATCCTCATCCCAGATATGACAACCAAAAACACGTCAAAATGGCAGACTAGGGATGACCTCCTTGCTCTCTGCTCTTGGAGTGGGAAGTGAAGAAGGCGGCTTGAATCACTCGAGTGGGTAGTTCTCCCACAGGATCAGCTTCACGGAACTGCAGGGAAGCTTCAAGGGGCAGCAGCGCCGGGAAAAGGAAGAAAGTGACTCAGCGGCCAGCCAAACGGCTGTGTGATCCTTCCCACAGGGGGACGACTTCTCCTTCACTGACCTCCACGCCCACGCAAGCAGGGAAGTGCCTGAAGACAGCATGAAGAGGTAACACGGACGGGCAGGCAGGTTGGAGAGGAGGCAGGAGCGGAAAGTAATTTGAAATCTCCAGGGCACCGTGTAAGGTCGTTGCAAGGGAGGGAGTGGAAGAGGGGAGTGAGAGCCATCCTCTGGGACGCTCCCGGGGTCTCCAGTGTCCCAAGCCCTGCCGCTGCGGGGATGTGCCTATAGTTTTTGCCCCTCGGCGGAACTTGTCCGCAGTTCCCAGCCGCTTGAACTCTCCCAGTGAAGGGACAGAAGGTGGGGTGAGAGCCATCCTCTGCAGACCCTCCACAGGGGTCTCCAGCGTCCCACGCCCTGCCACCGCAGGGACACACAGATAGTTTTCACCCCTCCACAGAACTTGTCCGTGGTTCCCAGCTGCTTGAACTCTGCCGGTGAAGGGACAGAGCGGGGGGCGAGAGCCATCCTCTGTGGACCCTCCCCAGGGGTCTCCAGCGGTCCACGTCCCACCACCGGGGACAGGGACGTGTGGATAATCTTCACCCCTCGGCGAAACTTGTCCGCGGACCCTAGCCGCTTGAGCTCTGCTAGTGAAGGGGCAGAAGGTGGGGACGAGAGCTATCCTCCACAGACCCTCCCCAAGGGTCTCCAGCGGCCCAAGACCCACCACCGGGGTGCAGAAAGTTTTCACCCCTCAGCAGAACTTGTCTGTGGACCCCAGCTGCTTGAGCTCTGCTGGGGAAGGGGGCGTAAGAGGAGGCTAGTGCCATCCTCTGTGGATCCTCCCCAGGGGTCTGCAGTGGCTAAAGCTCCACTGGTGACACACGGAAAAGGGATAGTCTTCACCCCTCAGTGGAGATTCTCAGTGGTCCCTGGCAGCTCAAGCACCACTGATTTTAGCTCATAATCCATTCCCTGCATCTCCAATCCTCAATAAAGCATCCAGAAGAGAAAGAACCAGTGAAAGTTTACAGGAAACATGAAGGACCAGAGAGAAAAGTCACCTCCAAAGCAAAATACTCATTTTCCATCGTCTGACACCAACTTACATGATATGAGTAAATTGACAGAGGGAGATTTCCGAATATGGATTGCTACAAAACTGAATGGAATTGAAGAGAAAATAGAATCACAACATAGAGAAACCACAAGAACAATACAAGAAATGAATGAAAGATTCTCCAAAGAAATCGAGACTATCAAGAAAAACCAAACAGAAATTCTAGCAATGAAGGAAACAATCAAGGATCTCCATAATTCAGTGGAAAGCCTAAGAACAGGATGGACCATGCAGAAGAAAGAATCTCAGAACTTAAAGATTATGCCTATGCTCTAAACAAATCAGAGGAAGAAAGGGAACACAGAAACAAGACCAAAGTTTACAGGAAGTGTGGGATTATGTTTAAAAACCAAATATCAGATTGATTGGGATTCTGGAAGGGGAAGAGGAACATTTACAAGGGCTGGAAAACTTATTTCACGGAATACTGGAGGAAAATATGCCAGGCCTGGCCAGAAATCTTGATATCCAAATACAAGAAGCACACAGAACTCTTGGGAGACTCAATGTGAAAAGGCAATCACCTTGCCATGTGGTTTTTAGGCTGACCAAAGTAAACGTGAAAGAAACAATTCTCCGTGCAGTGAGATGAAAGCAGTAAATGACCTATAAAGGTAAGCCTATCAGACTAACAGCAGACTTCTCATCTGAAACCTTACAAGGCAGGAGGGATTGGGTACCTATCCTTAATCTTCTAAAACAGAACAAAGCCCAACCTAGAATTCTTTCTCTGGCAAAATTAAGTTTCATCTATGAGGGAGAAATAAAGTCCTTCTCAAACAAACAATCACTGAAGGAATTTGCAAAGACCAGACCATCCCTACAGGAAGTTCTTAGACCTGCATTTCTAACCAAACAGGGCAGTAGACACTCCTCAAAGTGAAATCATCAAATAATTAAAGTTTAGATCTTGAACTAAATGATGGCCCAAGGAGTAAGACAAAGCAACAAGACTCCACCCAACAATATGAATGGTAATCTTCCTCCAATTTCAATCCTCTCAATAAATGTAAACAGCTTAAACTGTCATCTGAAGAGACATAGACTGGCAGAGTGGATAAAAATTCACAAGCCTAGCATCTGTTGTCTACAGGAAACACATCTAACCCACAAAGATGCCCGCCAGCTGAAGGTCAAGGGATGGAAAACTATCATCCAGTCAAATGGAAGTCAAAAGAAAGCTGAGTAGCTATACGATTGCGATAATATAAGG